GGACAGGAAGAGCTGGTTCAAATCTAAGTTGGTCGACGTTGCAAATCAATATCTCATTTCACCAACATCATATTCCAAATTCCTCTCTGAAGAACATCGAAAGGCATTGAAATCTCTCAGAAATAATGACAAAATCGTCATACTGCGACCTGACAAAGGCTCAGGAGTGGTACTGATGGATAAAGATGACTACATCGCAAGAATGAAAACTCTGTTGAATGACCCATTGAGGTTTAAAGTCGACGACTGCCAGAAAGACAAGACAGATGCAACTGAAAAACGCATCACCAATGTACTGAGAGATCTTCTAAAAAAGAATTTGATTGACAACAACACGTACAATAAATTAAAGCCCAGAGGGTCCCGCTTGCCATATATGTATGGCCTTCCAAAGATACACAAGAAAGAAGTCCCTCTAAGACCAATACTTTCGATGATCAACTCTCCTCAACATAAGGTTTCCCGTTGGCTTGCGGAGAAGTTGGAACCCATTCGCCGACGTCTAGCCGTGCATACCATAAAAGATTCATTTCATTTCGCCGAAAGCGTGAATCATATGAACGTTTTAAATAAGTTCATGGTCTCATTTGATGCAACCTCCTTGTTCACAATGATCCCAATCAATGAAACCATTGAAATCATTTGTCAACATTCTGATCTACTTCCACTACCAGAGTCAGAATTCAAACGCCTACTGCTAATGTGTACCATGGATGTACAATTCCAGTTTGATAACACTCTTTACCGACAAATAGATGGCGTAGCCATGGGCAGTCCACTTAGCCCTGTTCTAGCAGATATCTTCATGTCAAACCTTGAGAAAACAAAGTTGAAGCATGCAATCGATCAAACGACTTCCTATTGTCGATATGTCGATGACACATTTGTAGTATGCAAAAACGACAGTCATGCCTCCTACCTACTCAGCCTATTCAACGAAGCACATACAAATATTGTATTTACCATGGAACATGAAAATGACGGGAAGTTCCATTTCCTTGACATCGCCATGCAACGCCTAGAAGATGGTAATCTCCAGAGGTCAATTTACCGAAAACCTACATGGAATGGACAATACTTACATTTTAATAGCTTTTGTCCAAATAGCTATAAACGAGCACTAGTCAAGACTCTGTACTATAGAGCAAGGAGAATATGCTCTACAGAGAAACTAGAGGAAGAATTTATGTTCCTCGAAAAGGTGCTGAAAAATAACGGTTACCCTCAAAGATTCATAAACAAATATGGAAGATGTGAAGACTCAAATACCAAACAAATCACAGTTGAAAAAAAGCCTGTCTTCATTCAACTAGATTTTAAAGGTGAAAACATTGCAGAAGTGGTCAACAGAAGACTGAGAACATCACTAGCCAGAGCCTATCCTGCAGCTAAGTTGGTTCCCGTCCACCGAACAACATGCTCTTTGGTGCAGTCAAAAGTCGATAGATACCCTTCTCATGTTAACTCCAACTGTGTATACAAATTTACGTGTATCTGCGGGAGCAGTTACATTGGGAGAACAGAAAGAAGGGCACACCTCCGATTTTCTGACCATGTGCCAAGAAGCCTACGTCTCAAGGGAACAAACTCTTATAGCAGCGCTATCACTAGACATCTTCTCGACACGGGTCATGAGGTAGAAATCGAGAAATCCTTTAAAATTATCAATAGACAAAGGAGTTCCATTCTCCTCAAGTTTGCCGAAGCAATCTCTATCAAACGCTTGAAACCAGATTTATGTGTTCAGAAAGAAGCAGTTATTAATCTCTCTTTGCCCTGGTAACTGAATGTCTTTATTCTCTCATCTGATTACGTAATCTTTGTCTTTAACCTCACCCCCTTTTATATTCTGTAATTTTGCTTGTCTCTTGTTTCTATGATTTGAGTTGAACTCAGTACATTGTTACCTAATTTCTTAGTCACTCTGTATCTAACTCATATTTCGTCTTTATTACGTAACTCCTTTACCATTTTATGCATACATCTATTTTGTTTAAACTTGAACTACATGTGTAAAAACTATATAAGCGCAATTTTCTGAGCACTGTTCACTTACTGTGGAACTTTTTGTCAACTGGCAACATGTAAAAAATTTGCAAGTATGTTAAATCTTTTCTGTACGCAAACCTCATTATGTATTTAGGCTGTAAGCAGCTGATGAGAAGCCTACGAAATAAATGATGGTACCATATTATTCTGCACAAACCACTTTCGTTCTTGCTTTATTCAAATTCATCAAGGGGAATAAATGCTTGAAGTTTCTGTGAGTTGAGTGAAACCGGATACACTACTGATGGGCTGGTTGCATGCCAGACAGGCGAAAAGTCTGTCCGGTGTTTAGATCACGCTTCAATTTGGCTGGTCAGCCAGCATTACTGGTTGGCGTGTTTGGTTTACAACTCTTCATCTCTATCAATCAATAGTATATGATTTCATGCGTTTATTTAGGTTGCTTGTTATGCCCCATATACTCTTTATAAAAACGATGAATGGCCATATAAAGTAATTAAAAGAATTAAGAGGATTCAGGAAAAAAGTGGTGTGCATTTCGGAATGCTTGACTGATATTCGTGTTCGAAAGTATACAGTAATTTGCATTAGTTTTGTGGTTATGCCAAGACTGAAATATACTTGTAATCATCCGAATGCATGTATTAATGGAATTAACCCTAGCTCAATTCAGTGACTCAGCGATTGACTTGTTACCGGGGAATAATCTCGTTGGCTTAGAATATGCAAATGAAGTAGTCCTTCTAGGTGAGGACGCTGACAAATTAGAGTAGAGTTTTCTGAACACCTTGAGCTGAAATATGCAAATGTTTGGCATGCGATTCTCTCCTGATGTCAAATGTAAAATGATGCTACCTGACTGGACTACATTGACTCTCAGCTTAAAGATAGGGAGTGAGGTGGAAGAGAGTATTGACCACTTCACTTATTTGGAAAGTTGCATCAGCCGCAACGTATTGATCACTGGCGAAATTTCAGCGCGGATGCAGAAGGTTCGTTTCGCATATGCCAAATCTTAGGGGACGTGATATCCAGCTGTCGACCAAACGGCATGTGTACTGCTCAGAAGTCCGCTCAATCATCCTTCATGGCTAGCTGTGAGTTAGACCTGACCATTAAAAGTGGAAGACGTGAAAACGCCGGCTAGCTGTCTTTGATCATAGGTGTCTGCGTTCCATCTCCCTTGTCACGTAGTGGTATAATAGGGTGAGTACTATTGAGGTTAGGTTTCGGTCGAGTGCTAGGTAAGTGTGTGTGGGGAGGTGGGTGGGAAATCAATCGATGCGGGTGTGAAGTTACATCGGTTGAGATGGTTAGGACATGTGTTACGCGTGGATGTCTAGCCATCGATCACCTTCCTCGACGGTCAGTGTTAGCTGACATAGGATTGATCAGGTTGGAAAAGAGAGAGAAAGCTAGTGGTGGTCAAACCAAGACATGTCTTCATCAGTCAGTGAAATCCACAATAGTTAGTTTAAGATAGTCAGTTAGGTAGGTGTATACTTGCTGGTTGTGTTCCTCGAGATGGTGAGAAGGAATGACGGCTGGAGACAATTGTTGATATGGCTGGAAATCGTTCTGAGTGGCTGGCGCAGATGCATTCACTCTTTGTGATTTATAATATCCAATGAAACTATATTGTTCTTACATATTACTATTCTTGCTGTCGCATATTTCTGTTTATTATCTTTCACTGTTTTGAGTCTCTTCTTACTCTCTTCTGTTGCTTTGTGTGCTACATTGTGGGAGAGTGTCAAGTCGAACTGGTGCACATCTGTGCACAGTTCTATGTTTTAATCAGTCAGTCAGTCATTTATTGTATATCATAAGTTTAAGAAAGTTATATTAAATTTTTGAGTTTTTTGATACCATTGTTAAATGTTCCGAATCCTTATCTAAATGGTGATTTAACTATCAAAACGCTTTGCAGATTATCTAATGAGTTAAGAAACTATTCTTCAGAAACTAAGAATGATTTTCGATTGATATGCATACGATATCTAGAAATCAAATGTTGATTCTAAGCTCAGCTTATCTTCTCTAAACACTTACAACAAACTAAAACTGAAAATTCGGGGTGAATTTTGACTTGAACCATTATGCTAGATTAGGGAAACAAGTGGAATGACGATGAATATTGTGTTACATTCTTGTCAAATCGTTAAAGCTCTTAGTATTATGGATCATTTGAAAGAACGCGAAGACGATAACCAGAGGTCGTTGACTTGAACCAGTCTCTCATCCAGATTTCTGCTTGGATTTGACTTATGATCCGTCAAACGGACATATGCACCCTACCGGTGAGTGTGTGCCACTGAAGAGTTCCAAACTAGGACGAAACAACTGGCTGTCCAGTATTCCCAGGTTTTCCAATGATTCTCTAACCGATGTCAGCCCATGATGAAATCCTGTAACCAATCAGTCAAATCTCTACAGATCAATACTTGAATGTCATTGAGATTCTCACTAGCGACTGGCCCCATTCAGGGAGCTGACCTTAGGTTCTAGTGAGAAGTGATGACCAGTAGGGTACAGCAGGTTAGGTATGAGGACAAATACTTGCCGAAGACATCGGCTGGTGGTCCCGCTACGTCGTGAATTCGCAGAAGTTGCAATTCATGCGTGATTGCTGCGAGGTCCTGGGTAAGAACCCTGGCAGTGGCTGCGTACTGCTAGAGAGTCCCAAACTAGTCTGACGAAACAGCTGGCTGTCCGGTACTCCCAGCTGGTTTTCCAATGGTTCTCTAACTGATGTTAGCTCATGATGAAATCCTGTAACCAATCAAAACAAATCCGTACAAACCAATACTTGAAGCGAAATCTCTGTTAACCACTGTCACTAAGCGCTAGTCACAATACTCCTTACTAATATGTTTGTTATTTATTTCGTCATCAGAAAACTAGATTTTTTTCACAATTTAACAGAACGAATGTATTATGACAAAAATGACGACAACAAAACGGCATGATTTGAAAAGAGAATTGAGCTAGAAGAGAAGAGGAGTTTAAATAACAAGTATTTAAAATAAGAAAATTTATCACTTAGAATGTGCGATCTCTTTATTATAATTATCATTATTATTATTACTTTTTCATCTCTTGTGTTTAATAAATCACAGTCTGTGTATCTTTCTGTTATCAATACTGCTGGAGGTAATCTTGAACAATTAAGGTATTATTTCATGGAATTGTAAAAAGATTTCCAGTTCTGATGGTGTAAAGATCCCGTCTCCTAAGCATGAATAAAAATGAAGAATTTAATCAGAATCTAATTTTTGAAGTTAAATAATAATATAAATAATAATGATAATATTAAAAAAAACTAAATCATTCAGTGGAATAAAGTCTCACACTCACTTAAACATCAATTATTGATGTCAACTTGTTGAGTGAGTATTTGAGTTTTAGCAAAATAAAATTGTCGCTCTTTCTTTTCAGCCTACATGAATAGGTAGAACGGAGGCGGTCAATCACGATGAAATTTAGTCAGGTAGCCGGTCTTATGTGGTTTTGTATTTTATGCTTAGAGGAATACTGTAATCATATCAGATCTGTTACTTTCGGCTGTTTTAAGGATGCTTTACAAACGTTTTTAAACAACTGGAATATCTCATGCGGTTCGAGCGAGAATTCGCAACCAGCGGGGTCCAAAAAGTCAGGTGAGAGAACAGTTACTCGCCTATGACACTGGCTGGCGCTTACACCATATATATTGCGAATTTGGAGAAGTTGGAATTCATGAGCGATTGAGTCGGGTCCTAGTGGCTGAGTGGTCTACGAGCTGGCCTTGTAACCAGAAGGTCTTGGGTTCGAACGTCGGTGGTTGCGTGCTGAAGAAGAGTCCCGAACCAGGACGAAACAGTTCTACAGTACTCTCAGGTTTTCCAGTGGTTCTCTAGTTGATGTCAACTCGTAATCAAACCAGTAATTCTATCCTTCTCGTCTATTTGTTGGACCGAAATATTCGGCCTCTGTTAGGGTTTAGGGGTAAACCAATCAATGGGGGAACCAAAATTGACCGATGCACAACAGATAGCTCTCAAAGTCCAAGTGTTTTAGTGGATAACACTTTGGAGTTTGAAACGATGGGTATTCGGTTTGGATTCCATGCTAGTCACCATCCACCAACTTAATTTATGCCAGAATACTTATTATGATATTTGCTATATTATTGTACGAAAGCACGTCGCAACCTACTTTGTTCATCCTATATGGCTAAATATCTCTCTCATTAAGTTATTCAGTATGACAATTTATCTGTTGATTACACTGAAACACTACTTCATGACGGAATTACTTAACTCTTAAATGAAGTAAAGAAGCAGAAACTTTGCAATGAGACCAGAGAACTAAATCACTGTGCTAAATATGTGTGATATAAATGAAAACTTAGTCAGTAATAAACAATATTTAGGAAACCAAAGGAAATCACGGACCTCAAGGTGGTTGTTTCATCTAGTTGTAGAGCTACTCAACCGGAAATCCTATCTGAGGTCAAAGAGAGAACCATTAACCGTCACTGTGAGCGCATTACTCTTAGCCGAATACATCGTTATTCAATGATGATTTAGCTAATGATCATTATCTAAATTCCTTTTCATTCCGAGTGAAACACAGGGCTTCTACGTTTTAGCTTTGACATTTCAGTAACGGTGGTGATTTTTCCGTGTTACTAGCCTCATGTCCAATCTTCTGCCTTTATCAGGCTTTCTAAAGACTAATTGAGGTTTGGAGAGTGTTAGCCGGGAATTGAACCTCAACCATTTGGGTGATTGGCAAGCATTCTACGCCTGAAACACCAAAGAACACTATTCTGTATGGCGGCTTTCATTACAGTAACTTTCATGACTCTTAACTAAAGAAATTAGCAAATTAATGTATATTCACTGAAGATAAGATGATTAACAGCGTCTATACTAGTGTGATTCGATAAATTTCTTCGTAACATACATACCTTAAATTAAGAATTAGCCAGTTTCCTAATACAAATTATTTATACAAGAAATATCAATTTATAACATGTACACACAGGTAACCATAAAACGATTCTCAATTGAGTTATGCCTTCAATGAATTTAGACTTCAGAATTATCTTTATTGTATAAAATATTAACGATCGAGAGGTGCTTTGGCAACTACTTCGCTACTACGGTGTGCCACCGACAATTATACATCTCATCCAACAACTGTACGACAATGCTATATGCCAAGTAATCCACAATGGGAAACTAACGGAATCCTTCGAAGTGAGGACAGGAGTAAGACGAGCTGGCTGCCTACTATCGCCAATGATTTTCTTGATTGCAGTAGATGGGATAATGCGAAAAACAGCGGGCAAACTGGACGATATGCAAGCGAAAAGCAACAAGTTGGCAGAAGAAGCATCAAAGATAGGACTTCAGGTGAACATAGAGAAAACAGAGGTGGTGAATATTTATGGCCAACAGCAACAGCAGCAACAACAGACAACGATCAGCATAAATGGGAGGAACCTGAAAGAAACAACCTCCTCAGCCTACCTACCTGGGAAGCATCGTTTCAACTACAGGCGGACGGAACTGACGAGGATATCAAAGCAAGAATCGGGAAAGCAAGACAAGCTTTCATTACTCTCAAGTCTGTTTGGAGGTCAACAGCTCTCAGCATGAAAAATAAGATCCGGATTTTCAACTCCGATGTGAAGTCAGTCAGTGCTACTATACGGATCAGAGACTTGGCGCGTCATAAAGAGCATCTCAAACAAATTACAGACCTACATTAACAGTTGTCTTCGCTCAATACTCAAGATCAGATGGCCGGCCAGAAAAGACCAGTAACAGAGGGGGATCTCCGGGAGCGAACCAACACAGCAGGAACCGATTGTACAACAAATAGGCAGGAAGAAATGGAGATGGATTGGCCATACTCTTAGGAAACCATCAAGTGACATCACTAGACAAGCCATTGCTCGAGTGGAACCTGAAAGGGAAGTGGCGAGTTGGTCGTCAGTGCAAGGGTGACTTGGAGGAGGTCATGTGAAGAGGAGATGAAAACGTGTGGGCAGAGTTGGAGCCAGGTGAAGACTCTAGCAGAGAACCGAACGCAATGGAGACGCACGGCTGAAGCCCTATGTTCCTCCAGGAATTAAAGGAAACAATAATAATAATATAAAATATTAACAGGAATTGAGGAACATAGGTACACGTTAATTCTTTTATGTACACGTATATATATCAACCTCCTCATTCAATAACGGTTGGGCATATTAATAATCAGTAGAAGTTAAAATTTAATATTTTTTTTACACAGGATACTAATTTTTTTGAAGGTTCTGCATGATTATTACTTAAAATTGGATGATTGTGTTAAAAATAGAGTTTGTTTCATCTAAATTACCGGATTTAATTAGTGTTCTCTAATACATTGACAAAAAGACGGTTGTCATGGATGACTAGTGGTGTTAAATACTGATAAAGTATTAAGAGATAGACCAAAGCAAACTTTCAACGTTTTGTAAAATACTAAACAGACACTAGGTAACAATCGGTTATTAGGTGAACAGTCATTAAATATAGTAAGTTGAGTAGAAGAATAGTGCTTTACAACTGTGTGTGTGTTGCGTGGGTGTGTGTGTAGCAGCTAATGCGTAGGTGGTAGTATAGATTATGGCTGATTTGCATTTACAAAATAATAATCTGGTATGACAATAGAATAGGATGTAATCAGTGTCTAAAATAATAAATAATTCTTAATTAATTTAAATATTACACTCAGTGATAATTGTAGGCATCTGTGGTTCACTGACAGAATGCTTGCCAATCATGCATGTTTCCCGGAGTTCGATTCCAAGCCTGAGGAACTCCTAGCAAATCCCACCTCTTTAAAATACACAACTACTATTAAAACTTATGATAATTAGAGAACATAGTTTAAATGAATACTTATTTTCAGTAAGTTCCCATCACTCTTTACAGTTAAATACAAAACTCATTCAGTATAAATAAATGTAGTTAACAAGACTGAAATTCCAGTCTGTGAATTAGAGGATACTTATCAAGCTAGTTATTATTATTATTCCCTTGGGTTCCGAGTGGAACATTGGGCTTCAACAACACATCTCCACTTTCTTCTGTTTCCTGCCGTCCTCTTCAGCTGGGTCCACGATTGCTCATAACCTCTCATCTCCTCCTCACCACACGATCTCCTCCATGTCACCCTCACACCGACGACCCACTCATCCCTTCCCATTGGGATTTCACTACAGCGATGGCCTGCATTGCGCGCGAAGTTATTTGATGGTCTCCTAAATGTATGCCTTATCTATCTCCATTTTCTTTCACAGATTTGGTGAGCGATCGGCTCTTGGTCAGCTTGTTTCTACAGTTTTTTCTTGCGAGTTATTTCTGGCTAGCCATTTTATCTTTGGTATGAAGCCAGCAGAGGCAGCTGTTGATACATGTCTGCAACCTGTTGGAAAAGATTTTCGTGACATGCAGTGCAAGTTTCTGAACAATATGGAAAAACTGACCGAATTCACATTTGTGTTGGAAATCCGAATCTTGTTCCTTATCCTGAAGCGGAGTGCAGAAGATTTCCAAACTGGTTTCAGGTTGATGAAGACGTGTCTTGCCTTTCCGATCCTGGCTGGCATTGACATCTTCATCCGTTCCCTCTGCCTGTGGTTGAAACCATGCTTTCTAGATAAGTGAAGGAAGTAACCTATTTCAAATTTATCCCATTCATGCTGATCGGCGCTGGTTGTTGTTCCTGTTAGTTGGTTGGTTTTCCTCATCACCTCCGTCTTCTCTATAATCACTTGGAGTCCTGTCTTCGCTAACTGTCAGCGTTTTCTGCAAGTTTTCGAGTTTGTGTGACATTAGACATATATCATCTTCGAAATCCAGATCTCCTAGAGTCCTCTTCTCGGTCAGTGCAATGTATTCTTCTTTTCTCACTCCCAACGCAGTCTGACGCATAATCGAGTCCACCACAATTAAAACTATCATCAGTGATAATAGGCACCCTGTTTTGTCATACTCCTGTATTCACTTCGAACGCCCCTCTGAGTTCTCCTTTGTGGATCACCTGACACGTGACAGACATTGTCATATAGCCAGCTTTTGATTGGGGTTGATAAAGACTTGGGCATTGCACACTGTAGTGTTGAAGTGGTTTCCAAATTACTCCTTGGTCAATGCTGTCCGTCGAAGTCCTTATCAAAGTTGATGAATTTGAGGTAGATGTTACAATAATAATAATAACACTGATATCATGCATTTAGTTATATAATGCAGGTATTCAGTCATACTGAAAGTGTAGATAGATTCTGTCTATTAGATGGTTTGAGGCGATAGGTCCCATGAAGCCTTGGACACAGGTTTTGCGCTAGTTGATACTCGTCAGCAAGGCATATCTGTACTCTTCAAGGAACTCATATTCCTTCTTAGATTCGAACCCGCGTCACCACCCAGTGCTGCAGTCAGTATGTGTATATGAAGAAGTGGAAAGGAAAAAAGAACTATTTACTCATAGAAGCTAGATAACAGCATACTTAGTTTTATAATAAACTACAAAGCTAAGAATAAAGTATTCAATTGAAACAAAGTTATTACATTCAAATTACACCTTACCATTATAATCAATTTCATTAAAAATTGACTGTATCAACTTTGGTTTTATTGAAGTGATGGGTACATCAATTTTATTAAAAACATATTCTGAATATAATTTATTATAAATTGAATTTCTTAGCAATTCTTTCGAAATAGACGACGATGACGAAGACTTCGTGTAAAATTGTTCTTTTGGCCATCTCATTTCATATAATTTTTGTAGTGTTTCTTTAAATTCACAAAAGAGAATAAGCTTAACTCTTTCATAGGCTACATTTATGATGAAATGTGTAAATTTTTCTGTTAAATCGAAAATTTTTGTTAAATTTGTTAAATGAAATAGCTGATTCAACCATTTTGATAAACTTATTTGATTTGATTCAATTAAATGATAGATATTCCTTAAATTCTTGCCTTCTGAATAAAATGATATATAGTTGGGTGCATTGGACACCTTGAAAAATGAATGTTGTTTAAAGTCTGGACTAGATTTATGAAGGTCATACAAGCTGAAATGTTGATATACTCCATCGGGATTTGTTGTTAGCGTTTGTCGTTTTTGTTGTCGAGAGTAGGTTAGAAATCTCATATATTTTCGGAAAAATAGTTTGCCTAAAAAGAGGTTTGAAAATGAAATACAGCAATTAGTAATTTATACCAATAAATGAGAAATAAAATCTTCGAATTACTTATGTCTTTTCTAGGATTCTATAGGACTGATCATTTTTTTTTATTACAGCTTGATTCCAAACAGTATTTTTTGGTACAGGTATGGAATTTTCAGCATGTGATATCAGTAGCCTAAATTTTGCAGGCCGACCATAGATATCGGGTGTGCGTCGGCAGGAGATCGAACTCCGCACCATATGCATGGTCGGCGGGAGTCCTGACCACTGTGTCACCGATGCACACAATACTGATGATCTGTGCTGTTGAAACTAAGTGATTACCATAAGCTTTTCATATAAATACAAAACTTCCAGGCATTGTCAGGCTTCAAACAACCTGAAAGGTTATCTGTCTTTAGCAGTTTAAGCACCAAAAATTCAATGACTAATTTTTTAATTATCATCCTTTCCTTGAATTCTGAGTGGAAAATACGACTTCAGTAGCACATGTGCATCATGCTATATACTCTTAAGTTATTTTTATCTGGCTCCACGTCTACTCGTAAGCTTTCTTTTCCCCTTTACGCGATCGCCGTGTCACCTTCGGATGCCCAGCCCATCGCTGTTTGATGATGTCACTTGAATTTCTTCTCATTGTATGTCCAATCCACCTCTGTTTCCTTCTGCATGTTTGTTGAGTAATAGGCTGTTGGCCGATTAGTTGCCAGAGTTCTTTGTTGTTTATTCTTTCTGACTGGCCAACAGATCTTGACTACTGAGCGAAGGTTTTCGATTGTAATTCTCTGAGTTCGTGAAGTTCATGTAAAAAGTTGACTGCTATTCAAGGCTCCATTCATTGGTGATGTGCACTTGAGCTATTTGGTTCACATATGATTTGTGTTTGCTGAATCCAGCCTGTTCCTGGGGACGTTCTCCATCTATAGCACCTTATACTCTTTCTAGGCTTCATATTTTGCTTGGGATGGACAGAAGCATGATTCTGCGCCGGGTTTCGCATATTATTTATTATTATTTTTTACTTTATGCCTTTACGTTCCTAGCGGAACATAGGGATTCAAGCTGCAGCTTTGAAGTTTCGGTAGCAGTGGTATTTATTTTTACTGGGTGGGATTGCTAGCCTCATGCCCAACCTTGCCTCTTTACCAGTATTATTGCTGACTTAGTGAGGTAAAGGAGTGCGTCGGCCCGGGATCTAACTCCAGAACACAAGCGAGGTCGGTTTTGTATGGGCTTAGGTCAATTTCCTTTGGTATTGCTGTAAGATGGCCTTTTTTTTTTCCTTACTTTCACACCTTCCACATTTTTAGAGTGACCACTGAGGTTTCTGCGTCCATTTCCTGTGCTTCAGGTGGGGATTCCACACCACCCTGCTAGCTCCTTAGCTTTTCATAACTTTATGACATCCAAAAGTACTCATTTTCTCGGAGGGTCGTTGCTCAATGACACTTTTGTGTCTGGCGGTGGTATGTTTGGACGAGTTGTAGGTGGCGGTAGGTTTAAGAGTCCTGTGAAGTGATCAGTCCAGCGTTTCTTTCTTTCAACTCTTCTTAAGTTGGGCTCCTTTCACTCCTTTCATCTGTTGTTCTCTTCTTGGATAGTGACCTCGTTATTTGGTGTACTGTTGTGACGTCTCTCCTACCTCCTGCCTGTTCTGCTTCCGTTGCCATTGTGTCGCAAAGTAGTCTTTTTGTCTTCCCTAGCACACTTTTCTCCGTTGTTCAATGCATTTCAGACTGTACTCAACTTCGCCTTTCCTTGTTAATTTCCGTAATGTTTCATCTTCTGTCTCACCATTCATCTCTGTTTCGTTATTTTTCAGCTGTCTGTAGTCAGTTATTTATTCTCTTACATCTTATTCGTACCTAGGATTTCTATACAAGTTTCCAACCACATATTTCACAGAGAGCTCTAGTGCTTAATGACTCCACACTTTTTCCTGTTGAGTGTAATAAAGGTGTACTTCTTAATTTCGTTCTTCAGTTTCTGAGTGTTGAACTTAAACTGTAGTCTATTTTCAGCTTTTCTGAGGAATTTAAACTTGGTCTTTAAGTTTCCTTGCACTAGATAGTGGTTTGAACACACATCTGCTCCTCTTCTCGGTCTTGCGTCTGGTAGGCCTCGTCTACATTTTCTTGTGATGAGACTCAGCTGGAGTCTATCTGATTTTTGGTGTGTCTGTCTTGTGCATACCCATACTGAATGTACACGTTTCCTTCAATGACTAAATTGTTACAGACAGAGAAGTCATCGATTGCCTCTCTATCCATGTTCAGCTCTGCTCCTTTGTGGTTCGCTCACAGTTCATATAACCCAATTTAAATCTCGACATCGTCATTTTGCTCAAGTCTTTTACATTACTGTTTACAGTTGTTTGTAGAAATCCTCCTCCTTCTCTTGATCCGCATAGTTTGTAGGTGTGTTTGATTTTATTATTGACTTAAATGTTGTTTTTATGATCCTGGAAGAGATTGGTTTTCACTGGCTGACAACCTTCGGAGCTTTTGGTGACATCATGACAGCCACTCTATCAGTGTGCTCGTGACTGTTGTCTAGATGACTGGAGGAAATTATTGAATACCCAGTCAACCAGTCAGGCAGCCCCCTTGTATCGCTGTCACAGATTCCCCACGTTTCTATACTATATCTTCTCATTTCTTCTGCAATCTTAGCAGCTTTGTCAGCCAAGTTGGAACATGGTGGGAACATGCCATGTTCCTGTGGTCACTTTCGTTTTCATCGATAGAAGACATATTAGGGGACTAGATCTGTGGAGACCTTCTCCAGCCCGAGTCATTTCTTCTTTTCGATTCCAGTGGAGAGTAAGGTTGTGCTGATTGTTTGTTGATCTGTATAAGTACCAGTCGTTTTTGTTCATTTAATATTAGACTTCGTGTAGTCATTTGGTTTATTCTTCATTAGTTTATGCATTTGATCTATAACAATGTGTCTGTTTGTCACTGATTTACCTGAGTACTAGGCTTCTAAGAATTCTCTAGCATTTTTTATGTTTCCACTGTTTAAAATCTCCACATTCTCCCAATTAGATCGGTGGCCGTAATTGTCTATATGCGTCGATTTGGAAGAATGTATATATCATGTCTTTTCAAAGCTAATTTATGTCCCTGGATTCCGATTCAAAGGGGACGCCCAATTTGACCAATGTAGCGTTTATCGGAATTCGTGCAATTTATTTTGTAAACGATATTGATCTTATCTTCTTTTACTGTTGGATCCTTTGGTCTGCAGAAAAACATTGAGTAAAGTGATTGTATTGGCTCGTGTACTATGTCTTTTTCAAATGGTCTTTGTATTCTAGCCGTTATTCCAGAGATAATCTTTATATATATGCTAGAACGAATTTTCTTGTGATCTTTGACAATGGTTTCTTCTTGGTATTTCGATTTAAGCTTAAACATTTCCTATAGAATTGGACGCGTAATCATTCTTCTTGAAGACGGTTAATAGATGTTTCTCTTCTATTCTTCTCAACACTGGAGTACTACAGTGTGTTTGGACACTTTTAAAGTTTTATATCCAGCAACCTGATTAAATCACTGGATTACCCAGTTTTCCATCCCTCCGAGTTTATCTTACTAACTCTGCTTCAAGTTTTAAAGATCCAGTTAGATCTCACACCTATTTTCATATAGTTTGCGATCAACAGTTTTGGATTTTCCAAAGGATAGGGAGAAAAAGCATAGCAAATTATTAGGGTGTTCTATAGTTTACGCCGTCTCTGGCTAGTCGACGTGATATCCGGCTGGCTATCGACCAAAGGGCGTGTGTACTGTTCAGCAGTCCACTCCATCATCCTTTATGACTAGCTGTGAGTTAAACCTGGCCATTTAAAGTGGAAGACGTGAAAATGCCGACTAGCTGTCTTTGATCAGAGGTGTCCGCATTCTATCTCCCGTGTCATGTAGTGGTATAATAGGGTGAGTACTATTGAGGTTAGGTTTCGGTCGAGTGCTAGGTAAGTGTGTGTGTGGGGGGGGGAGGAAAATCAATCGACGAAGCTGTGAAGTTACATCGATTGAGATGGTTAGGACATGTGTTACGCGTGTGTTCCTAGCCATCGATCACCTTCCTCGATGGTCAGTGTAAGATAACATAGGATTGATCAGGTTGGAAAGGAGAGAGAGAGCTAGTGGTGGTCAAAGTAGGACATGTCTTCATCAGTCAATGAAATCCACAATAGTTAGTTTAAGACAGTCAGTTAGGTAGGTGTATACTTGCTGGTTGTGTTCCTCGGGATGGTGAGAAGCCAATGACGGCTGGAGACAATTGTTGATATGGCTGAGAATCGTTCTGAGTGGCTGGTGTAGATGCATTCACTCTTTGTGATTTATAATATCCAATGAAACTATATTGTTCTTGCAAATTTATTACTATTCTTGTTGTCGCATATTTCTGTTTATTATCTTTCACTGTTTTGAGTCTCTCCTTACTCTCTTCTGTTGCTTTGTGTGCTACATTGTGGTAGAGTGGCGAGTCGAACTGGTGCACATCTGTGCACAGTTCTATGTTGAAACCAGTCAGTCAGTTAGTCAGAGTGTGCTGTGATATACTACTGATTATTAATTAACCTGTAGGCTGAATATAAGGATTAAGTGCTCTATAATAGAACATGCTGAAAATTCTGTATTGTGTATTAAAGCATTTTTCAATATAAAGCAATTATTATTATTACTACTAAAAGTCTGTCAATCCATACGTTGAACTTAACAAAATAGTAATACTCTTAAGTTATTGATTATTGCTTTTGCAAGTGAAAACTAATAAACTTCTCTCGCGTTGAAATTATTTTCACTGTGTGCGTTGATATACTCACATAATTTAGAAAATATTTATGTCTTTAATGAGCTATTAAAATGAAACAATGAAATATTTATTGTTTTTTATTTGACCTTGGTTGTTCTTCAGGCAACTAGTACTAACCAAAAACACTGGTCTTGATTTATCAGAAATAGTGTTGAGAAACGATTGAGAGATATTTCGCACACACACACGGTTGAGGAGAATAAACGATCTGAAAACCAATACATGAACGAACTATTTAGACCAAGTGATATTTATGTGGTTTACTTTAATTATATATATCATTCTTTAGGCTGAATCTCATTGTTCTAAAGTTTGTTTACCTCCTTCTGACTTGACGCTTATTGTTTGTCTTTGTTTTTGGTTGACTCTTATTTTGAAATGATTCTATTTAATGTTATTGAAAAGCATATCTAAAAGGCTACAGACTTTCATCAACAACTACCTTCGCTCGATGCTGAAGATCAAATGTCCAGAAAGGATAAACAACGGGGAATGAACCAACCAAGAACCTGTTGCCCAACAAATATGCTGAAGGAAATGGAGATAGATCGGAGACACACTGAGGAGACCTTTGTGTGACATCGCATACCAGGCAGGCAGACAGGCCCCTGAGTGGAACCCGTATGGGAAACAGAGGATCGGGCATTGGTCTATGGGTGATATGAAGGAGATGGTGTGAGGAGGAGACGAGAGCTTATGGACAGTTGTGGCACCAGCCAAAGGCGACTGCAGAGAACATTATGTAATGAGGATGTTTTGATAAGTTTCTTTCTTCATCACGTGTGTCTTCAGTGCATACTCGTAGAATCCAACGAATATGCACTGAAGATACACTTGATGAAGAAGAAAGAAAGTTGCCACAAACTCTGGTTGATAACAGACAAGTTCATCAGGAGATATAAAGTAGTCAGAACACCAAGACCCACTCTCCAACTCGCCCCTAAGAAAGATTTGTACATCAAGCTATGCGGAGCATCATAGCAGCTTGATAACTAGACAAAGATTCAACGCTGCTGTTACAAAGACTTTTTATGCAGCTAATATCATAATAATTGAGAATGTGAAGCCAATATATCCATCTAAGCCCTTAGAAAATGCGAAAAATGATGTCACATCCCACTGTATTTACCAATTTAAAATGTACGTGTGGAAACACATACATAGGGAGGACTCATCGATCTCTGCAAGTAAGGGCTTCAGAACATATTACTAAATGGCTCCAGAAACGAATAGAATCTTCAGAACACATTAATGGTGAGAACAGGCAATCTAGCTCCTCTATTGTGAAACATATTATAGAGACAGGACATAAAATTGACGTTAACATATCTTCTAAACCTATCTGTAGAACGTGTTTCGGGGAGGGCGTATCCTAAAGTTTGTGGAAGCCCTAGCTGGAGATTAGGAAGTTTAAACCACCTTTATGCGTTCAGACCAACAATTCTTCATCACACTAAACCTTCCTTGGTAAACTTTGTTTTGATACCATAGCAGATGTACTATTACCTCTGTTATTTGGTTTAGTGATCTTCATTGTTATTTTGACCTTCAATATGTCCTTTTAACTTGACCTAAGTCTATTTTCTCATCTCTTAACTCTTTATTAATTTCATATATATATTCCTATGACAAGTCTGTATGTGATTAGATCGTTCGAAATGTGTTGCGCAAATACATTACACGATTCAGACAAATTACGTCTTCTTATTGCTTTGTCTAAATTCATAAAGAGAACTAATTGTTTTAAATACTTTTTATTTATTTTATTCCTTCATGTCTCAAGTGGAACATAGGGCTTCAAGCTGCAGCTTTGAAGTTCCGGTAGCAGTGGTTTTAATTTTCACCGGATGGGGTTGCTAACCTCAAGTCCAACCTTCCCTCTTTACCGTCCTTACTACTACTACCGTCTTAGCATGGTTTAGCAGTAAAATGAATAAATAATCAATAAATCAATCACAATAATATTGGCATTAAATAAACTTACCAGCTAACTGGTTACACTGGACATGTGATTTATTACAATACTCATGAAAACTAGTGACATGATCGTTGTATATCCTTGATTTGCTATTAGCAGAATAATTGTCCCGCCATAAAGGACGATTGCGATAATTATTATTATAGAAATGATGATATGGAAACCGATGCAGAGGATGGAAATGATTTCCCAGTAAATTCCTCACGTATGTTCTTTTTGCATAATTAAATCCAGTAACACCAGAGTTTAAGAAGAACAAATAGTAAAATAAGAAGACATGTAGGAAAAAAGAAACTTTTCTTCTACATTTACAATGACAGCTTAATTCTGACATGGATTGTCCAGTTGAATGTGTGTAGTAGACAATTAATCGGCGGAAATGTTATCCAAATCTTTTTATCAAAGTTGGTTTTTTCGTAATAGGTGAAAATGACGCTGAAGTTTCATGGGATGACATCAAAATGATTTTAGAAATGAATATTCTTTGCTTGTGGACAAAATCTGCAGAAGGAGAGAAAGAGATAGAGAAGAAAATTTAAAAGAAGGAAAAAAATCATTAGCTCACCAACTACTACTACAACTAAACGAACAAAACCGTGAGTTAATCGGTGGAGACTCATGTAAGTAACGTGGTTTGTACTGATCTTTGAAGGAGTTGATTTTTATAAACAAAAGGCCAGTTTCAGGTAATGCAAGCCTACACTAACTAATGTTGACTAGATATTGTTAAAGAAAAAATAGTTCTCACAGTCCAGTATATAAGTGTTGTCAAGATTATTTTAGCTGAAGTGAATAAAACTGACCATATTTCTAGAAAAGCAAATATTTCAAAAGGTAGAAAATGCTCAATGAACCATAAAGAAAACATTTAGATAATTCAGAGAAGAAAATTTTGCTTTATCGACGAATTCACCCACAAAGGCTGTACAATCGTAATTATATCTACTAAAAACATATAATAGTCTGTTATTGAGTAATAGGAGGCTGACATAATTGATGCAGTTATTCAGAAGTAGCTTCTAAAGTCAAAGTTATTACTTAATAAGTATTTGGAATTTGATAAAAGTGAAAATTTTCAAGTATTCGTTTTGTAGGGATTTTGTCTTGATTGGTTACACGATTTCATCATGAGCTGACATTAGTTAGAGAACCATTGGAAAACCTGGGAGTATTGGACAGCTGTTTCATCAGTCTAGTTTGGGACTCTTCCCAATATGCACCCACCAGGGTTCTAGTCCAGGATCCATTGGTGAAATCCTCCAACCAATCAAAACAAAATCTCTACAAAACCAATAGTTGAAAATTATTCTGATGCTTACTAGCGACTGGCCCTATTCAGGCAGTTAATCTGGGGTTCTAGTGGGAAGCCATGACCAGTAGTATGCAGCAGGTTGAAGGTGCGGCGGTAACTCATCGAAGAAGACATTGAAAAGTGGTCGCACTATGTCATGAATTGGCAGAAGTTATAATTTATGGGCTAGCCATTTGAGCGGATCCCAGTGGCTTAATGGTCTATGAGCTCGCTCACCTTTTAGCCAGAAGGTCCTAGATTCGAACCCTAGTGGGTGCATACTGATGAAGAGTCTCAAACTAGTCTGACGGAACAGCTGTCTAGTACTCCCAGGTGGTTTTCCAATGGTTCTCTTGTAACAACAGAAGACAAGGGCCAGGCAACAGATCGTTTATTAAGGAAAATCAACACATATTTATAGATTTTAATGTACATTACCGTAGATTATTGTTAGTAGAAAATACAGTCTGTTGATTGGTTGTTTCTCACAGAAAGTTAACCTTGCATCTCTTTGTGGCTGTGTCAGATCATCCATATGCTAACTGTGTCCGCCTACGAAAAGCCTTTGTTCTCATTTTCTCACCACCAATATTGGGGACATAAACATTGACGTCAATTACTGTCTACCAACTTTGGCTAGCAGCCAGCTCTCACCACACTCTAACTGATGTCAGCTCATGATGAAATCCTTCAATCAATCAAAAGGGAAAGTTGTTGTTAGATGAGCTGCAGGATAGTTGAGTGTCCACTCGGAAAGTGTGAAGGTTGAAAAATAATTTCATAAGATGTATGAAAAGAACATGTCAGAGTAATGTTGTGGTGAGAGCTACCTGCTAGCCAAAATTGGTAGACAGCAATTTACGTCAGTGTTTACGTCCCAAGTCTTGGTCATGAGAAAAAAGTGAGAACAAAGACTAACTCAACAACCAATCACAGCAAACTTTGCGTGGGTGGATACAGTTAGTAGATATATGGTCTGACCATCAAAGAGACGGCCACAAAGAGATGGCAGAATAACTTTCAGCAGGGAAACAACCAATCCGAAGACGCTGTTTCTCTGCTAATAATAACGAATAATAATGTACATAAAAATACATAAATATCTCTTGATTTCCTCAATAAACGATCTGTTGCCTGGCCCTTGTCTTCTGTCGTTACAATATTAGTGAATTATTTAACAAGTATACAGGCGATTGACTAGGAAGGAGTTTAAGACCATGGTAGATTTAGAGAGTGAACAAACATTTTCTGGAGTTTGGGCTGCCTCAGTCATACACAAGTGCTGAGACCTAACACTCTCACCTTATGAGTAAATTTAAGAGACAACTCAAATGGAGCTTCATGGTCTGAGTTCACCAAGTGTTTGAGACTTGAGCTATTAATCGTCTGCAAATCACTCCAGGTAATGTTCACAGATACTTTTGAAAAGTATACGCTCTGTGCGACCTATATAACCAGGTCCACAGCAGAAAGTGAACTTATAAACAAATAGTCTCTGAGGACGATTTCTTTGATAAGGAAAATTTTCTTCGCCGAAAGGTTTCTATTTTCCACATATATTTCACTAGATATATAATAACTATCACGAAAAAAAACAATCCTTTAAGTGTGAAATAAGTAACCCTTTCAATCTAAGTGTAATTCCCCATTATTTGTAACTTACTGGGTACCGTAATTGTTTTTTAATTTACAAGTATACGCAAATGAATTTTAAATATTGAAAAAAGCGGGAATTTGTTAATAAAGCTGAATGCCTGAAAAAAAAGCAGCAAATCACAGTGAAGTACCAATGAAGTGGGTAAATGAAGCCTCAAGCGAAATTGTGAGTTCTACAAAGAAGTAAAAATTAGGCAATAAGAGATGCCATATCTGTTTTTATCTTCAATTTTTCTATTTAAAATGACCAAAATACCGTCAGCTGGAATGATGAAAAGAAACGGGAAAACTCAGATAAAAGGGATTTTATTTTAATAATTATTTTAATTATTCATGATCTGCTTTAACTATTGCTTAGATGTTTATATTTGTGCTTAACTAATAATGCTGTCATTACTGTGACAACAACTTATTAATAAACTCTGTGAATTATTTACTAAGCTAATTGCCTCTTTTTTAGTGGATAAAAATAGCAATAATATGACATGATTGTTTTTACAGTGTCTATATTCATATATATGTATATATATGCCAAATGTGGTACACGGCAAAGAATGTTTCAAGTAGAAAAAAGTGGTTTAAAAGTAGCTATAATTACCAACAATATTAAGAACTCTTAAGTGATGTAAAAACAAGCAAAAAAGGTTAATAAAGCAGGATTTCAGTAGAACTCTTCAGCTGAATTCTCTACATACAGTGATGTATGCATACTTTCTGAAATACACTGGCAGATATGTGACTGATAAATAAATAAATAAACTACAATGAAACAATCATGCAAAAAGGCAGATATGAATGTTTTACAGGTCAAGTTCAGATAGATAAGGAGGAAGGGGTATGAGAGATGAAAATTAGAATTATGATGGATTATGGTTCAGTTACGTCAATGTAATAAACAATTAATTATCAGGGTGAGAACCTCGACTAGTTTATTAGCTCGTTAGTTTTATAGCCGGTTGCAAGCCCGGGTAAAGAGGGAGGGTTGGGCGTGGGGCTAGTGACCCTACACCATAAACCAATCAAACTGCCACAGAAACTTCTGTGCACAAGAAAAATATTAAAAATACAAAAATACATAAAACAAACTTATTCTTCACTGAAATCGAAGAGGCGAATTTACACAGCGGGCTGGTAGAAGCCTTCAGGAATTCAGCCAGCCAGCCGATATGTCTTCTCTCAATGAAAGCGAGAATAAGAATGGGGACGTGGAATGTACGTACAGTGTACGAGGCTGGCTGGGAAGGCTGCCCAGGTAGCCAAAGAAATGAGAAGATATGGCATAGAAGTGCTGGAAATCTGTGAGAGCAGATGGAATGGATGTGAACTATCAAAATTGTCAACTGGAGAGTCAGTAATCGACTCCGTTCTGGTCACTCAGAAAACAACCACGAGCACACTGAGGGAGTGAGTGACTATCATGATGTCACCTTCAGAACAACTGGAGACATGCCACTGTAATTCAAGTTCAACATTCAGAAACTGAAGGGCAAAACTACAAGGAATGCCTTCACTACAGATCAGTTCACAGCAAAGTCGGAAACACTACGTGACATCAATGAGGAAACCTGAGTGGAAGAACACTGGAACTAACTCTCTGAATGTGATGTTCAAGGAAACGTGTACAACTGTTCTAGGAAGAAAGAAGGGACAAGACAAAGAATGGCTCTCAACGGACATCAACATGGAAGCTAACAGAAGAGAGGATAGAAGGATGATGAAAGAGAAGATGACTCAATGCAAAGATGGGCAACAGAAGGGGAAGCTGAGTTCAATGTACACCCCACTGAATAAAGAAATGACGAAGAGTGCTAAGAAAGACAAAAGACAATTCTACGACACACTGGTTGGCAACTGAGGCAGAACAGGCAGGCCTCAGAAAGAAGAGACATCAGAACATTGTACCAGATAACTAGGTCTCTATCCGAGAAGAGATCAACAATGTTTAAGCCTATGAAAGATGGTCAAGTGAACTGAATTACCAAGGAGGCGAAACAAATAAAACAATGGGCTGATCACTTTGAAGGACTCTTGAATCGACCATCACCTGCAACTCGTTCACAAATACCACCAACAGCATGCACATAACTGCCTGTCAGTGGACACCAATCCTCCAGCGAAAGCAGAAATACTAAATGCGATCAAGATACTGAAGTCTGGGAAGGCAACAGGAAGCACTGAAAACTGACCCAGAGACTGCGGCAGATTTTCTCACGTCATTATTGCGAAAGGTTTGGAAAGAAGGAAAATTATTTTCCGATTGGAAAAAAGGCTACATTGTCAAGCTGCCAAAGAACGGCGACTTAGGTCTCTGCAAGAACTGACTGGTGTGGAATCATGCTCTTGTCCACACCAAGTAAAACACTAAGTCTCATCATCCTATAGAGAATACAAGATGCACTGGATACAGAACTCCCCCAGCCTGGAACAATCTGTATTCAGAAAAGGCAAATCATGAGCTGATCAAATTGCAACTCTGCGCATCGTCATCACAGAACAAAGCACAGAATGGCAGTCAAACCTCCACCTCAACTACATCGACTTCGAGAAGGCCTTC